AGTGATAGATTCTTGCCAACTGGAACAGGAGAGTCTCCATCACTGTGGCTAGCTCACCACCACTTGGGCACTATCCGCTGGCAGGTGGGCTTCGAGCCACGATTCTCCTACTACCGATGACACATGTCTTTCCAAAAATAGAACAAGGGGTCATTCCTGTGTTTAGCTCATACTGTAACACTGTGCTATTCACGAGAACACTGAAGTATGCCTTTCGATGGATGGCCATGATGTTCCCCCCATCTTTGGCTCTGGCTGACAGGGCATTTTAGGTACACAGCCCTAGCAGTGGGCCCATCCAACCTACCGTGTACTGCTCCACAACTTTCACGGTGTGAATCAGCGACTACAGCGCTGGCCCCACCAGTGATATGTGAATGGTAAGAAAGCATGAACCTGACTCTCATAGCGGCCAAGTCCGTGGTTTCATAGCATGAACATAGCACAACTGGGCCCCATCCCTAATGCTAGGTACTCGTACTTGCAACTGCTTTCATGCAGCAATGGAGAAGCTTTGCTGCTACCATTTACACTGTTCGAATCGGCAAGGGGCAGGCCCCGCTGGTGCTTTGTTCACGCTTGGAAAGCATTAACCTCATCATAATAGTGGCCAAGTTCTTTTATGGTATTCACATACGGCACGGCCCTCATGCGACAGGTACTAGGATAGTTCTTGCAACTGGTTTCATGTACCAATGGATAATATTTCCTTCACACTGCTCAAAAGAACGGAGTTCAAACTTCAAATCTTTGTAAGATCTCTAGAAATAAATTGAAGTGCATTCTGCCAGTTTCAGGCCCATCAAAATTGTCCCATATGGTGCACCGACCTTCAGATAGCCATGCCGGGTACTGGAGGCGGAGCAGAAGAAGACAAGTTCTGAGTGGGGATCCGGACCGCCCGGGTGACCGGCAGGGGCCTGGGGGAGGTCCCGGGCGGCCTGGCCAGGCCGGGCACCCGGTTGGGGGCCGGGCCCCCTCAGCGCACTTACCTGTCGGGGGGTTTCGGGCCCCTTTTTGGCTGGTTTTGGCCTCCCGCAGGCCTACCTGGTCCAACCGGCCCAAGAAACCATTGCGTCGGGCCCGGTAGGCCTGCTTTTTTATTGAAATTCCCGCCGGCTCTGTGGCCGTCAATGCAGCATCATCGACGGCCACAGAGCTGGCGAATCTTGGCGCCAACCTTCCCCCCCGTTCGAACCTCCGGTCGGCTGGGGTGGTCTGCCACTCGCCCCCCAGCACGATCGGAGTTGGTGCCGACATGCTGCGCGGTCACCCGTTGCCCGTCGCCATTGCCATCGGCTGTCCTCCTGCTGCTGGTACGACGAAGGCCCAGACTGTCCCGCTGCTATGACGAAGGCCCCGACAACGAAGGCGTCCTTCTTCTTCTTCTTCTTCTTCTTCTTCTTCTTCTTCTTCTTCTTCTGCTTCTTCTTCTTCTTGTCTGAATCGTTTAGGGTTTGTGTAGGACGCGATGGCGAAGGCCCTGCTGCTAGGGTTCCTGTAGCAGGTGACGACGAAGGCCCCGACGAACTTCTTCTTCTTCTTCTTCCTGTTCTCCTTATTCTTTTCTTCTTCTTCTTCTTCTTCTCTCCTCCTCCTCATCCGCTCATATTCTTCTGCTTCTTCTCTCCTCCTCCTCCTCCCCCTCTCATCTTCTTCTTCTTTCCTCCTCTTCCTCCGCTCATCTTCTTCTGCTTCTTCTTTTCCCCTCCTCCTCCTTCCCCTCATCATCATCTTCTTCTTCTTCTTCTTCTTGTCGGTTATTCGACAGGTCCTTGTTGTCATGCCCTACAGCCACCATACCTCGTCCATTCTTCTTCTCTCCTCCTTGTCGGTTTTCCTCCCCCTCCTTGTCCATTCTTGATCTTCTTCTTATTCCCCTCCCACTGCTCTGCCCATCTTCTTTTTCTTCTTTTTCTTCTCTCTTCATCCTTCTCCTCTCGTCTTGTTCTTCTTCCCTCCTCCCCCTCGCGTTATCTTCTTTCTCCTCCACCTTTCTTAATCTTCTTCTTCTCCCCCTCCTCCCCCTCACGTTTTCTTCTTTCTCCTCCACCTTTCTTAATCTTCTTCTTCTTCCTCCTCATCCGCCATACCCTACTGCCACCGCCGCCGCCACCGCCATACCCTACCACCGCCATACGTGTACCATCTTCTTCTTCTTCTTTTCTTCTTGAATGTTGTTAAGCAACATACATGCAGACACCCCCCCAACCCCMSCCCCCCCCCCCCCMAAGACCMMCCCCCCCCCCAAAMCCAMCCCCCCCCCAAAACCAGAATTTTATTGCAAATTCGGGCTCCTCTCGCCGAGCAAAATATATACATGTATATATTTCTGGGCGGTTTTTTGGCCCGCCCAGTTTACCCGGTCCCCCCCGGGCCCAACCGGCCGGGCGGCGTCCTCACTCAGAAAAAGTTAGCATTTTCAGAGGCCCAATAGCGGTAGGCCTAGAGGTAGGCCGAGTCTAGGGCCTGTGCGGACGATATCAGAGCCTGCAATGATGTTTCCGTCCGTAAGGGAGGAGGTACTGGTTGCTTGGATGTCACACGGCCTGAAAGAGGCTGGTTGGCCACTATATCTCCTGGAGGGGCGAGTAGCTCCTCATTTGTGGTATGCAAGTTTGGGCGTCATGCGGAGTCTAGGGCCTGTGCGGACGATATCAGAGCCTGCAATGATGTTTCCCTCCGAAACGGGGGAGGTACTGGTTGCTTGGATGCCGCACGGCCTGGAAGTCACCAGTCGTGAGGCTGGTTGGCCGGTATATCTACTGGAGGGGCGAGTAGCTCCTCGTTTGCGGTATGCAAGTTTGGGCGTCATGCTGCTTGACCGGGCGCTGGTTCTCAGAGCGCTGCTGGGTAGGAAGGAGGAGAGCTGGGGCTTGCCTGGATATGGCGAGCAGCCCAGCGTGAGGAGGAGGAAGAAGGGGGCGAGGAGCAGAGTGGCAAGGTACGTACCTGGCTATGGGGGACACCATCTTCATCACCCTGTTAGGCGCTGCATCTGGAAGGCCCCAGTTGGGGTAGCGCTGCACCAAGAAAACTTCAAGGCAGAGTCAGGCATGGCGGCATGAAGAGCAGCGGCCGTAGCTGCTTTGCGTTGTCTTTTGCACGTTAGGGAAGGGCCCTTAGTAGTCCGCCATAGCCTAAGCCTGTAACAAGAATTGTAGAAGAGGGAGGCCATGGCTATGGTGGACCCATTGTTGTGCTGGCAGCAAGAGGGAACTTCCGATATTGATTCTGGTTCAACCACTCATTACTATTATGTGGACATTGTGGAGAAGAATAAGATTGGCGGAGACAAGGAGGAGAAGAGTGGAGAGAGAAGGGGGGGAGTTGTCATTGGTCTTACATCTTCTTCTTCTTCGTTCTTCTTCCTTGTCTCAATCTCTTTGTTAAAGTGTCTTTTCTTTCGCAATTGGGTGGCATTGTCTTTCCTTGTGAATTTGCACTTCGGAAATAGCCAGGATCGTAACATTTGGTATCGGAGCAGACTTACTTGCTGGGGAGAGGTGTTAGTCACCCTAACCCTGATTCCGGGTTAGGGCTAACTAATCTCGGATTACGGTCGGAGGTTAGGCTAAGAGGGGCAGCGAGACATTGTGGGTGCTGCCACCACCTGATTAGGTCATGTTGGGTCGACATTGGACCTGACCGGGTTGGTTGAGTGAATGCTTGGGGCAGCGAGACACAAAGGAGGCTGATTGGAGTGAGCGGAGGGGACCGGAGTGAAAGGTACTCGCACCTGGAATTTGGACCTGAAGAAGACATTGAGTGACTTTTGGGCTTCCTCTCAAGAGGGAGACTTGACCGGAAGCTACCATATCTGCATCAAAGAGCTGCAAGTTGCTACTTTGGGGATCCGACCTTCTATATTGGTGTAGGTAGTCCCTCTTAGTCATGCTAGGACACTCATGCAAGTTGCCTTTTCTTTTTCGGTACAGTAGAGGCAGTTTGGGACAATCTTGGGACACCCTTCTGGTTGGACCTGGTCCACAACCTACTTGGGACTCTTTGGGACTCGGTGGGACCAGCCCAACGGGACATGACCTTTTGGCCCCAAATCTGTTGTCGTCAGTTGGATTGCTCTGCTGCGCTGGAACTGGGGGACACACGGCTAGTAGGAACATTCCCTTTCGAGTGGATCTTGATAGGGTCTTACGGCACATTCCATCACACTGCCACGCGTTTGGCTCGGCGACTGCACTCCTCAAAATCTCCATTGCTTCAGTCAGTTCTTTCTTTTGTCCGACTTATCTATGATGCATGATCCATGTTGGGTTAGTCAAGAGGGGATCTCGAGTCTGGTCTAAACCGGACCCATTCGTTAAGTCAGACCTCTCTCTGAATTTTTTTATTTTTATTTTTCACCCTGATGCGTGGATGCCATTCTCTAGTCCAAATGAATTACCGCTCCGGCTACGAGTTCTACCTTCTCTCTTGTGATTTATTTTTGTCATTTCCTTTTATCTGAACTATCTATGTCCAGTCTTGAGACGTATGCGCAAAAGGCAGAAAGAGAGAGAAGGGAGAGAGAAGGTACTCTTATTGAGAGTGTGAGGAGTGGTAAGAGGAGTGTTCGTCCAAACGTGAGCGAAGAGCGGACCCCTCTTGAGAGTTCTACTGACACCCCATCCTCCAGCATGGCAGCCATCTCTTGGACCAAGGCTGCAACGACAGCGGCTAACTTCTCCCTGAACCGGTTTCCTTGCTAGACACAGCGGATGAGAAGGAGAATCCATTCTCTTACAAGCTCTAGGATGATGCATTGCAGGAGAGGGGGAGGCAGAGGCAACAGCCAGAGCAACAAGTATTGCTGCCCGAGTGGCCCTTCCGGCTGTTCCAAGGACCAGTGACAACCGGTTCAAGGAGAAGTTAGCCGCTGCCGTTGCAGCCTTGGTCCAACTACAAACTTTAGAGAACTTTGAGTCATGCATGACAACTCTAGAGCAGCAGAACCAAGATCTGCAGGCTGAGATTGCAGGCCTCAAGCAGGCCCAACTGACCATCCCTCGACCTTCTAATCTTCGTCCTGCTGCTGTCCCAATCTTTCCTCCTAATCCAGTCCTCATGCAGAGACCAGGTGGAACTGTGACGAGCGCAAGAACCGGTGCCAACTCTTCAAGCAGCAATGCCAATAGTTTTGCACTTGTCCCAGAGTCCCAAATGCAAGTTCACTAGCACAAAACGCCACATTTCCTGTTGGCCATGTTGTTGTCCGAGTGGACGGGAAGGGGGATATTACCTCCTGGATCAGCTCCATGCGCTCATACTTTGAAGTCATGCAAACACCACAGGAAGACCAAAGTATGATCATGGGCACAAATATTGAGCCCATCGCTCGAAGTTTCATTGAACTCCAAGCTATTGGTGCAGGTTACCAAAGGATTGACCTGACTGAGAGGTTGAAGGTGACTCTTGTTCGCACTCTTGAGGACGTCCTCATCGCGCAATACCAAGATAAGCACGCTGCGCTCAAAGCAAGACTGAAGCTTAAGGCCCTCAACTTGCCTCAAAGGCTAAAAGTGGAAAACTTCCATGCAAGCTTCGGAGCAACACTTGACTAATATTTTCACTACTTAAGATCTAGGATGGACTGATGTATCTTGCATGGACGTAGTTAAGGGAGTGGCTCTTGAAGGATATCTCCCGACTAGGCCTCAATTAGCATTCAACTTGGCGTGAGCCTCAAGGAACATTCAACTTGGCGTGAGCTGTTCACGGATCTAGTCCCTCGAGGCCTAAGACCTCGCCAAACGTACGAAGACACCAGTTGCAGGTAACTTTGTTGGACACATGCGGTCCGAAAGCACCAACAAGCTTAACAAGCTTGCCCTGCATGAACATCTGGAGGCTGCAGACCAGTACTATGCGGATGATCTACCTCTACATGACGAACTAAGGCCCGACTCCGACGCGAACTGTTTTACACCAGCCCTCAAGTCCGATATGGACGAAGACGAAAAACGTAATGCCTTTAGAAAGACTACTTCAAGCAAGGGGCCTAACCGCAGTTCGGGTAAGGGAACCATAACCCACCTTTCCAAGAATGCAATGACTGCCCAGAAACCAGAGGATGCTTTTACCAAACCTTGGGAAACCCTCCGCATTAGTCAAAAAGAATGGAAAAGAAGATCCAAAATGTGTGTGCAAGATTGTTACAAATTACAAGGAAACAAGCAAAGGGCATAAAAAAACTATCAGCGCTCAATACACAAAGAGGACCTGAGCAATCAATTGGAAGCAGCTCCAAGGAACCTGACTCTGATTAACAACCTACTCTTGAAGCCGAAATTGATGCTGAATCCAAGGCTCCTGCAGTCCAAGTACTTTATACCGAGCCTTGGGAGGAATCCAAGGAAGTCAACTTCCATTTGGGAGAAACCTAGGGAAGTCAACTTCCATTTGGGAGAAACCTAGGGAAGTCAACTTCCATTTGGGAGGAATCTAGGGAAGTCAACTTCCATTTGGTAGGAATCTAGGGAAGTCTACTTCCATTCTCACCTTGGAACATTGGATGCATCTCAAGCAGCAGCTGCCGTGTTCAACGAGGTGTAGAGTTGATCTTCTTTAAACCACCGGTACACCCGGCCTGGAGGCACCTTATTGCACACCAAGCATTTCCGAACGGCCAGCGGCGCACTTTCTTCCTTTCTTGGGTGGCGCCGCCAGCCATTGTGGTCCGATAGGCCACGCCTCCAAAATTTTTGTAGGCGACGAGTTGCATTTTCAACAAGGTTGGGTCCGTGTACTGGCAGTTTAAGTTGTGCTCATTAACCATCGATACATCCGTGTTTTTATTGACAATGGCTCAACAATTATTTTCTCCTAACGGAATTTGTAAGGCGGGCATGGGAAGGAAGAAAGTGGAAATGTAGAACCCTTGTCAGACCAAGGTAGGCAATCAAGAGGTTGTCACCTCAACACATGTTGTCAAAGGTGTGCACGTCACCTTCACCAAAGATCGCACAGTCACACATGAGTTGAACTTCTATATCCTTGGCAAGTGTCCCTTCGACGCGGTTATTGGCTTGGACTCATTGAAGGCCCATTATCTAAGAGCCATGTGGTGCGTGATACTAAGGGGAATGAGCGTGTTGTTTTGTTGGACAAGTGCGAGACCTCATTCACTCTTTTGAGTGCGAAAAAAAAATCCAAGACAGTGTGCAGGCGAAAGGAACGTAAGCAGTTGCATGTAGCCTTTGTCAAGCCTATCCATGCGCCTTCTACTTTTACTGCATTTTCTACTCGCTATATCTAACTTTATTCCATCATTTTCTACTCCATTTACTTCAAATTCCATTGATATTGCTATAAATTCTCGAACTGATTTTCTTCCCCCTGATAAGGATGATCCTCCACCGAAAGTCCCAGCAAACATTCGCCGTCTACTAGATCGATTTCCCAAAATTTGGGCTGAACCTCATGGAGTTCCCGAGCATTCGATCAAAAACATGAGATCGAGATTAAAAGGGAGTGTACCTCCAAAGGGTTGCGTCTATCATATGGGACAAGTGAGTCCGAGTTCGGTGCACCTGTCTTATTTGTTCCCTAGAAAGACGACAAAATCTGGATGTTCATCCACTATCCTGGCCTAAATTGCCTCACTGGAAAGAACGCTTACCCTGTGCCACACATAAATGATATGCTGGACGTTGCAGGTGGGTGCAAGGTATTCTCCAAGATTGACCTCTGGCTACCACCACATTGAAGTTGATCCGGTCGACCATCGCAAAACTACATCCAAGACGCGCGATGGGCTGTACGAGTTTATCGTTATGCCCTTCGGTCTCACAAATGCACCAGCCACGTTTCAATGCCTCATGGACAAGGTCTTCCACCATCATCTCAACAACTTTGTTGTCGTTTACCTCGATGACATTCTGATTTTTAGCAGATCTATGTAAGAGCATGTCGAACACCTTGAGGAGGTTTTGCAGATCCTCAAGGAGGTAAATTTGGATGTCAATTGGGATGGACAACGTCATTTATCTTAGGCACAGGTCGTCAGCTAATGGCCTTAAGCCTGGAGCAACCACGGTTGAGCTCATGCAGAAGTATTATGACTAGTTTCGTCCTTCGGTTGCCTATAACTATATATAACTCAAGTGAGCCTCAAGTTATATCGCCTTTATTGGCCAATATTGTTTTGCAAAGCATTGAAGATTTGACGTGTAGTGCTCATAGCTTTGTTATGTTTCCAGAAAAAAAAATTATGTTATTCGAATCCAGAAACCAGTAAGGGGTCTTCTTCTTCCAATGGATGTACGAAATTCTCCTCCTCCATGAGGGTGGTCTACTGGATTCATTGTTGTACCTCTTACTTTAGAGACCTCCAACAATGAATTGCACGAACGACGCTCCTTTCTCGGTTTGGCTTCATCTAACTAGAAGTTTGTGCCCAAATTTTATGTCATTGCTCACCCACTCATGAGACTAACAAGCAAAAACATCACTTATGTGTGGTGTGAGAAGTGTAAAACTACACTCCAAGCGTTAAAAGAAGCTTCGGTGAGTCATCATGTGCTCCGCATTGAAGATCTCAAGCTCACATTCGTAGTTACTACGGATGCGAGCCATTATGGGATTGGCGCATTGCTGCAACAAGATGATAGCTCAAGTCCGCTCAAATACTATAGCAAACACATGCCCAACCACAAGGTAGATACCTCCACGTACATGCGCGAGCCACATGCCTTGCGAGAGGCACTAGCGCATTGGAAACACTACTTGGATCGCCACTTCAAGGTCTACTCGGATCATCAAACCTGGCGGTGGAACAAGTTACAAATTGATCTCTCTACGACGCTGACCCGCTGGTTGCATGAGATTGATGGCTATGATTTTGAATTGAACACAAGAAAGGTTGCTGCAGTCGTGTCGCCTATCCTTTGTTTCATCCAAAGTTTTTGATTTGTGGAAAACGAAGGAGAATCTGGTCTGCCAAGGATCCGGACCTCGGTCCTATCCTTGAGCAGATCAAGGTTGACCCTAGTAGTCAGCCTGATTTTAACAAGTGTGAGGGTCTCGTATTCTAACACTATGGGAAGTTTAACCCCTTGTGTGTACCCAACCATGAGCCTCTCCGAACTTATTTCTTGGATTTGGCACATGGTCAGAGTGGGCACTTCGGCTTTGAAAAGACTTATGGAAGTCTTTTGCAGCAAGGGATCTGCTCAAAAGTTTATTGTTGAATGTCAAGTTTGTCAAAGAACCAAGGTTCATAGACACAAGCCTTATGGCCTGTTGAAACCCCTCCCCATTCTTGATGGACCCAGTGAGGATGTTTCCATCGACTTTGCGGACATGGGCCAAATAAGTGAGGGAGGACATTTACAAGTCATGGTCATCATGTATTGTTTTTCCAAATTTTTGAACTTGATTCCTTTACCACCTCATGCACCAGATTGAAGAGTTTCATCAACAAAAAATTCTTCAATATGGCCCCCCGAAAAGTCTTGCGAGTGATCGGGACACCAGGTTCATTAGTGCAGATTGAAAAGATTTCACCTCTCAGATCTACAACATTGAACAGAAGAAAACATCTCTCGAAGCCAATGGATTGGCAGAGGAGCTCAACCAGACTGTTCAAGGTTTAATTGTTCCTTATTAGAACACGTGGGACAAGGAGAGTTACATAAAGTGAAGGGGTTGTACAATAACTCCATTCAATTTGCAACTGGCGGGACACCGAATCAACTGCAATACGGTTGGAAGATGCGCAATCCTCGCTCCTACTTGTTCCCTGATCGGTCACCTAGTCTGACGCCCGACATTCCTGGTTACAATGCCAAGTACGCATGCTTGCTCAAAGCTGTTGTTGCAACAATGACCAAGTGCCAACATGCCATCATCAAAAATGCTAACAAGTCGCGCAAAGAAGGGAAATTCAAATCAAGAAGCTATGAATGGGTCAAAATGTGTGAATTTTTTGAAGAAGAGAGAGCATTGTGAAAACTCGTCCACTATATTATGGTCCTTGCCAGGTTATGAAGGTGGTAGAGGGATGATGAGTTTTGTCCTTCGTATGTGATTGACGTGCCACCTCATCTACGCATGTATACGATCGTTCGTGCGTCCAAATTGTCTCCCTACATCACTGATGAGATTTTTCTCTACCGAGAGCCTTCGATCCCTCGTGCTATCAA